AAAAAAAAAAAAAAAGATTTTTTACTTTAAATCTTGTTTGTTTCTCTTATGTCGCTTATCTTTGCACGATAAGAAATTAGAGAGGATCATAGGAAATGTGTATATTTTAAAAGTAAAAAAACAAATTTAAATCAGAAACAGTGTTACATCAAATAACTTGTTTTTTCTCACTTGGTTATAATAGTGCATAATTGCAAGGATAGATGCCTTTTGCTACCATTTGTCTCTGTGTGATATTAACCACACTACAGAGTCAAGTGAATTCAATTGAATATTGACTTGTTTTTTGATTAAATTTTCTAAATGTTCACTTGGGTATTTATTCTGATTTGCATAAACAGTTTCAAGTAAACTGTTTTATTTCCTCAAAAGTGGAGCTTCAGTAAAATCAATTACACTAAAAATAATGGGGGGGGGAGGTAAGATTACTTTTCAAATTACAGACACCAAATTTTGTGTGCCTTTTTTTAAAAGAGTTCAGTGAAAGAGCTTTATTTAAAATAGCTGAGACCAATTTAAATACTTGGAGGAGAAAAGTCATAGGTATGGATCACTATTCAAAATTTGTTCTTTGTGATGGTGCAAATTTGATCTTTTCAGATAGGACATTGACCAGCATTGATCCTTGAAATAAACTGAAAAACAAATAAAATAACATTGAATTGGTAAAATGTGATTGCTCTGTTTTTTCTACAAATTTTATGATGGCTGAATTCTATAGAAAACAATGTTTCTGAAATATCTTCAAAGTCAGTCCAAAATACAGAATATTCCATTTGCGGTTTGCCAGTTTGCACACAAAAATGTAGGCAATTTTAATTGTTTTTCATAGTGCCAAAAGAAAACCCTAAATAAAGATTACAAATATTTCTGTTTGGTCAAAAAGCATAGAGAGTGAGGCGCTTAATCCAGTTTGACTAACATAGTGTCCATCTTTGTCTGAAATAAAGTACTACCAAAAATCTGTGTAAAATATGAAAAGGCTGCATTAAGAAAATTGAACTGAACCATTGAACTATTAAAATCTGCTGCAAAAGTATACTACTGTACTGATCTATTTCCTTTTTTAAAAAACTAGATATTTCTTTATGGCTGTGCTATGAACCATTTCTCTAACATTTTGCTGTTGTTTTCTTTCAGTGTCTATCACTCCAGAAAATTCTCAAAGTGCAGCATTGCTGAATACAGAGATTTTTTACTCCGAGGAGGAGGTTTTTGTCTTTTCAACAGGCCTACAAAGGTGCATTCCTTATAATCCTTTGATGAAGGTAGCAAACTGGGTGATGGTACATTTTGAGTGAATTGGGAAGGAAATGGAGAACAGAAGGGGGAAAAATGTCATCTCTTCTTGCTTACTACAGGTAGTTCTCAACATATGACCACAATTGGGACCAGAATTTTTGTTACTAACGTCTGGTCACATTAAGTGAGTCACACCTGATTTTTGCCACAGTTGTTAAGCAAACCATACTGTTGTTAAACAAATCACATAATCATTAAGTGAATCTGGTTGCCCCTATTGATTTTGCTTGTCAAAAGCTCCCCTGGGAAAGTTGCAAATGGTACTGCAACTGTCATGAGTATATGCCTGTTGTCAAGCACCTGAATTTTGATCACATGACTGCAAGGAGGTTGCGATGGTTGTAAATGCAAGGAAGCGATCGTAACTCACTTTTTTCAATGCCATCATAACTCCAAATTATCATTAAGTAAATGGTCATAAGTCGAAGGCTATCTGTACCATTCCTGCTCTAACGTACACCTTGGTTTAGCATAATAACAGAAAAAAACAATAAATAATAAATTTCATTTGTATTTCAACTTAGTTCAGGACCTTCAGGTGGTTTCTTCCTCACCCCAGGATTTTAACCTCACAACAACACTGTGGTTTAAGTTACAGTGAGACCCACAATTGAATGGGAATTTGACTCTGTGTGATCAACTTCATCTGTGATGATAGAGTACAATGAAAGCCAATATGTATCGATGATTGACAAATGTGTTAACACCGGTCAAGACCATTACGTGGTTTGTGATTTTGGTTTGCATGATGTTTATATATAATATGGATACTATAGCTTGTTCAAAAGCTTTGGTTTTTTTAAAAGCTAAATGTTATGCATTGTAAGGATGTAAGAGCAACTTGTAAATATCATCCTTTAACACTTTAACCTAAGAATGAGGAATAGGCTGCTATTTCTTGTACCATCCAAACTCCATGCTCATATTTTCTTTTGTGATTGACTATGTCATAATTCTCCTTTTGTGAGCGGGCAGTTATTTCCCTGTGGGAACTGTAAAGCTCTCAGAATTTCAAATTGGCTACTGGTATAGACTTTGAATTAATGTTAGTATGATAGAATCCAGTCTTTTAACATTCCTAGCTAAAAAGAACAATCATGAGAGGGGTGATTAAAACCTCAGCCTGACAAAATCTGCTGTTATTCAACTTTATTCTAAACTGTGCATTAAGATTAGTATCATTTAGGGATGAGCTGTCTCTCAATTCAGTCAAATTCACAATCTTTCATAAGTGCACATAATACAAGGTATAGAGTAAGAATATTGTCCTGATGGCCTTATGTGTTGCATATTTGCGCTTATCAAGGAAATTTCACTTTGTAACAGATGTAAAACTGAACCAACCCTGCAATTATATCTAGGAAGTAAGAGGGTTTCCAGGAATAATGCTTTACTCCCAAAGCACAAGATATCTTTGCTTTGGGTTCAAGAGCATTCACTGAACTTACTTAACCTGCAATATCCTTATTTTTGAGAAACCACTTAAACTAACAACTTCCTCTTTTGGCGGGTGCTTTAAGCTTTTAGACTGAGGCTTTCTTATTGCAGCATTCCTCTTTCGGCATTCCTATTTTTACCACATGAAAGTATCTCTTTCTTTTAAGATGGACATTACTATCATAATAGCATCTATCTAGCATCTGGCTGTATGACCGATCCATCCAAAGAATAGAAGATGGAAGAACCAGATAAATACAATGAGAGGAACAAGTTCCAAGTCAGCAGTGCAGTTCCTCTGAAGTTTTGCTCTCTATATTAAATTACTCCTGAGAAAAATCTCCAGCAGAAATCTGATGTTCATTTTTTTAATAATCAGCTTCAGAACAGTAATGCACAAGTATTTGGCACTTAAATATATAGCTGAATCTTTTAATGGTAACTAGATCCTAACATTTTTTTAAATGTGTTTTTTTTTCAGTTGTTTGATGCCACTGAATGTGGAAATGGGTATGTGGAACCAGGCGAAGACTGTGACTGTGGTATCCAAACGGTAGTATTTTCATCTTAAAATGAAAACTGAAAAGTAGATAATTACTCATAAGGTTCTGTTCATTTTCATAGGACATAAAATAATAAAGAAGGGAGTGATGGATGATCCCTTTGAGATCATCCCAGCAGAAGTGGAGATCATCAGAACTCTCATTTGGAGAGTTGCCTTTTGCTTCGTGTAAGGCTGAGAAGAGTTTTAATTCTAATTTTCATTTTTTCTTACTTTGTATTTCTGTCCTAATTAATTAGAGCTGTATTTCTGATCTTCACTTAACTTATATATGTAAATATTTCAACCAATGGCATGGCCCGATGTTAACAAAATCATCTTGCAATCTGGGGATTTTGAGCTTTAAGAAAAATAATCAGCATTTTGAATATTTATTATACTAATTATTTTGGTTCAACATTCTATAATATATTTGGCACATAAGAGATCTTATTCTCAGTTGTTGTTTGGTGTGATATTACAGGTAGTCCTTGACTTATGATCATAATTGAGCCTAACATTTCTGTTGCTAAGTGAGACATTTGCTATGTGAGTTTTGCCCCATTTTACAGGCATTTTTTTCACAGTTGTTAAGTGAATCACTGGAGTTTTTAAATTAGTAACATGGTTCTTAAGTGAATCTGGCTTCCCCATTGACTTTGCATGTCAGAAGTTTGCATAAGTGTGAAAAACGGTCATAAGTCACTTTTTTCAGTGCTGTTGTAACTTAGAACGGTCACTAAACGAACTGTTGTAAGTCGTGGACTACCTGTATTTAGTACAGAGATACTTTCAATTTCAACCTCAGAGTGTGTCAGATTGTGGCAAAGTACAAATCTAATAAATCAGTAAAACTTAATAAAGAAACATGTCACTGATATTGCAAATATATATAATATATATAAGCAAGGAATCATATGTGCAAAAGTAGACATCTATCCATGGACCAGTACTTTCTATGCTCTTTTCCCACTGTAATCGTTGGTGCAATTTCACACTTTGTTCTGGAGGATCTTCCACCATTTAACAACATATTCTAAAAGTGCACTAACGAAAGGACTCACCCCTTCTCAGTTTTGCACATGAAGTTTGGTCAGGAGAAGTCAATCATTGAATACTTTCATTTAACTTTTATCATTATTATTTACCATTAATATGTTACTGTCCAATAAAAGTTTGGAAACATATTGGCTTTTGGATCTGCTGAGCCTCTCAGCATTCATTTGGCCAATTCAAATAATATTTCCGCTCTTTCTTGTCATTTGGACCTGAAAAGGTCTGTTTTTTTTGTTTTTGTTTTCGTTGCTATGTACTTTTAGAGCCAAGAAAGTCTACAGAGTTGCTGGTTTGTTTAATTCACGCTGTTGCATTATCCAGGGTGAATCACAAGGAGGCAAACTAGCTTCATACTCCATGTCAAATTATAGATCATATCATGACCGGCTATAGGCTGAGGTCATAGACCGGTCCAGTATCTGGGTTTTTTTAAAATTTAAACAATGCTACACTTCAGTGGTTAGATGGCATGGACATTGGCATTTGGAAATAGATCTTTTAAACATACAGTCTATGAATGATATGCCATATGCTAAATAAATAAATGATAATCATTAATATACAGTATATATTTTTTTAGGACTGCCATGCAGACTGCTGTAAAAAATGTTCCCTTTCTAACGGAGCTCATTGCAGTGATGGTCCATGTTGTAATGAAACCTGCCTTGTAAGTTATTTTAATTGCATCTTTACCAAATGGCACTGAATTAGAAAATGTAATCCCATAAGATAAAAATAAAAAACAGAGCTACTATTAGGATCAAAGGGTCCTGGATAGAGAGATACCACAACTTAACTGTTTCCACTGAAAAACATATCATCTCCTCCCCAATTGCTTTCCTACCAATGAATGAAAATGATACTTATATATCATTTTTTTTCACCCAATAAAAGGCTTAAGTTTTTTTTAAAAAACAAGTCTTGAATGCTTGGTTGTTACTTAACTGTTTTTTAACTGAAAATCTTTTGACTCTCAGTTTTTTCCACGAGGCTTTGAGTGTCGCTATGCAGTGAATGAATGTGATATTACAGAAATCTGTACTGGTGACTCCGGCCAGGTAATGACATAATGTATTTTGAATATGTTACATATTGATTTATCAGTCAGTGATCTCCTTCCCTCTCTCTTGTGTAACAATACTAGAACCAAAATTTGATTTTGAGAAAGGTGGAGAAAATTAACTTTCTATGTCTAAAACCTAAGCTGTGCTGATATACATATTCCCAAATAATTTAGATTTAGGATCCATATATTTTCTTTAATGTTTGGGATTAAAAATTCTTGTGGAAGGAACATAAGGCAATTACAAGGATAGAAGGGGGAGTTTTTGCCTCTTCCTTTTTCTGCCCACCCCTCCAAAATTTGTTCCAGAAAGCTGTGGCAGTAAGGGTTGCAGGAGGAAACAGGAATAAGCAAAAATTCGTACAGTGCTGTGTAACCTTTTTTGAGTAGAAAGAATCCTTCCATTTGTGGAAGAGCAATTTGGGATCACAGCAAAGAGCTTTCATTCAGATTGTTGATTTCAGTGTACATATATATGTAGGTCTTTGGTTATTTGGGTTTTCTCCCGCGTAAAATTGGAAGTGTCTTGGCGACGTTTCGACGAAGTCCCATTCGTCATCTTCAGGCTGGTGTTTTCAGCTTCGTGCTTCTAGGAGTAATGTGTGATCGCAGCTGTTTCTTCCTTTTACCTCCCGCCTACCAGCCATTTGGAAACCCGCCCTTATTGGCAAACGAGTCCCTAACACAAAGAATGACACCAGACCCATACTCACGAAAACCACACAGGATGTCACCACCACACATCCACGCAAAAAGCAAACCCAAACCCAAACCCAAACCCACACAGATGATGAGGCACGACCACAAACTAGAAGCCAGTCCACAGCTGCATTATTAGCCACTTTAAACCCCTCCAATTCATACATGAAGCAAACTGACACCCACCATAAAGATGTGGCACGACCACGAACACGAAGCCAAACAACAGCAATGAAGCTCACCATCTCAAATCCCCCTGCAACTCAGACTAACCTGAGCACAACAAAGCCCCCACCCAAACAGAACACTCCCCCAGCCATTCAGAGCACAGCCAACCCCCCCCATCCAATCAGAGCACAGCAAAGCTCCTTAACCAATCAGAACACACCTCCACCCAATCAGAACACAGCCAAGCTCCCACCCAATCAGTTCAAACCCTACTGGCAGTTAAAAGGAAGAAACAGCTGCGATCACACATTACTCCTAGAAGCAGGAAGCTGAAAACACCAGCCTGAAGATGACAAATGTGACTTCGTCGAAATGTCACCAAGACACTTCCAATTTTACGCGGGAGAAAACCCGAATAACCAAAGACCTACATACAAACACCCACGAAAACCTCAGAAAACACACACACACACAAACACACACACACACACACACACACATATATAGAGAGAGAGAGGGAGGGAGAGAGAGAGAGATTGAGCTCTCTCTTTAAGACAGCCTTTAAAACAATTAGAATACAGCATTCTTCTATTTAATATGTATTCATTTTTCTTTGACTAAACACAATTATTCTATGGAGAAAAGCATGTGTCATATCAGGCAATGTTTTATAAGAAGTATTCCTATTTTGATATTACCTTTGGAGTTTAACTCACATTCAATATAATTAAGTGTTTTTAAAAGGGACATCTCTTTAAGGAATTTAATCAAATTAAGTAATCATCTAAATGCAGGAGATTATGTACTCACCTATCATTTTTACATGACCAATCAACATTCAAACGTGCTTTCTGGATGGGAATAAAATAAGATTAACATGTATCAGTAGTAATTAAAGACTCTTTCTAACAAAATAAAACATAACAAAATCCTCAAAGAAGATGTGTAATTATTTAATAAGGCCAGGTTTCACTGAAAAAGTGATCAAAGAGTACCAGCAGGTGCCTTTTTAATTAGAGTCTTCCCTAGGGTAACATCTGTAAGTATGATCTTTGCTAGTAACTACCTATACAATTATATTTGGTAATGGCTTACAGAAAGGACCTCCTTATCTTAAGTAAGTTTCAGATAAGTATTTATGCAGAAGTCCTAAATTGGCTATTAATCTATTAAACACTGGAATAATTTGATCAAAATACTCCATTTCAATTAGTCATTTTACGGCCCTATTTTAGAACAACAGAAGTTTCTGGGGTGGTTCTAAAGGCAGACCTATGTAAAGTAGACATAGTAGCCTAATCAGGCGGCAGTTACCAAAGCCAGGCTGTCTGAAAGATATGTTGATAAGACCACAGGTAGCGCAGCGGTTAGAATGCAATATTGCAGGCTAACTCTGCCCATAGTAGGAGTTCAGCCCTGACCGACTCAAGTTTGACTCGGCCTTCCATCCTTCTGAGGTTGGTAAAATGAGGACCCAGATTGTTAGGGGCATGCTGACTCTGTAAACCACTTAGAGAGTGCTATAAAGCACTATGAAATGGTATATAAGTCTAAGTCTATTGCTATTGCTATATATATCTAAAACTGATAAAAAAAACAACTGAAGCTACAAGTATCTAATGGTAGCTACAAAAACACTTTTAAATCAAGAAATTTTTAGGTTATGAATTTCTCATTTTTATGTCCATCGCAGAAGGGTTTAACCTTGCTGGGTAATCAACTACCTAATACAGGACTTCAGAACTGTTTAGTCAGATAGCATCTGATTTTTAGATAACTGTCTACCCTTATGTCTAGATGGTCACCATCCAGCAAAAGCCTACGTGAACCGAAAATGCAAGTAAATTCTAAGGGATAATTCCACAATTTTAAAGTAAAGAAATACTTTGCCTTTCAGTGCCCACCAAATCTTCATAAGCAAGATGGATTTGCTTGTGATTCAAATCAGGTAAGTTAAAACTGAGCCTGCACGAGCTTAGCCTATAAGTTTATTGAAAACATCAGGACAGTGTTTTTGGAAGTTGCAGTACTCTCAATTTCACTTCACAGGATGTCATTCAAGGATGCACACAAGGGTTATGGGTGCAGACTGGATGGCTATTAAGGAAGGGATTTTTTTTGAAACTATCAGTTATGAAAGACTGAATAAGTTATTCAGACAACATCTTTTGCAAGCAGAAATTTTGGTTTAAAAATAAAGGGTGTGTGGGGGGGAGAGTATATAGTGGCTGGAGCCATAAAATGTAGTGCCATCAGGTACATGGTATTTCCTCCTCCTCCTTCCTCCCCCACAGCTATGAGGTATATGCCTCATGGTCACATTATGCATATCATCGATGCCTGTTGCATGCTGCCATTGTTATGCTCCACTGTCAGAAAGGCTTCAGCATAGATCCTGCTTAAGTTATAAAAACTTTTTACAGTGTTTTCCCCCCTTCTTTCTTGATGGGAAATACTATTTTTTGGATGTTGTTTTTTCCTCTTTTTTGTTTTGATGGCTTATGCTGTTTTAATTGTTATTAGCTACTTTAAGCTTCAAAATGCTTTCTTTAAATATAGGAACTATTTAAGTAAATAATTTTCTTCTGCCATTTCCTTGTGTAATATTCTATCCAATATAAGATTCACTGGAGACTGCATGCATTATTTCTTCTCAAGCAGTTACTAGGATAATATTCTAAACTCTGTTTGATATCCTCTGAATTTACTTCAGTATGCTGGGAATTCTGTGCTGCAACTTTTACCTTCTTTCAAATTCTGCTTTGCAACCTTGGGATGTATAGATTTAGGCTCGAGTTTAAAAAGCAACCTAACTGCTTTTTGTTCACATATTCTAATGTCTTAAAGAGAAAAACTCTCAAATCTTAGGGAAGCAAAATCTAAAGTTATATTAACATTTTATTAGCCTGGTGAAAAGAAAATAATTTCAAGCATCCTTGCTATCTTGAAAGCCAAGCCAAGCAGTATTATTAGAAAAAAAAAGTTTGTTCCTTGCTAGCAAAAAGGACAAAGCTCGTGGCAATATCTGGCTTTTTACGAAGAAAGAAGAATGGTATGTTTCTGACTATAATTTGTTCCTATTTAGGGACGTTGCTACAATGGAGAGTGTAAGACAAGAGATAATCAGTGCAAATACATCTGGGGCAATAGTAAGTTAATTTATACAAAAATATTTCTCAGCACATTCTATCTACTTCTTACTATGTTGTGAATGAATTAAAAGGTAATGTTAATTTATAAGGGCCTTTAATGCACTTTTACTCGGAATTTATATGTGAAAACTTAATACTAATTTTCTTTACCCTATGTTGATATGTAAATCTCTCTCTCTCTCTCTCTCTCTCTCTCTCTCCCTCCCTCCCTCCCTCCCTCTCCCTCTCTTTCCCTCCCTCCCTCCCTTTCTCCCCCTCTCCTTCTCCCTCTCCCTCTCAATATATATGATTCATATTATCCTCTATTGTCTTTGGGTGTTCCAGCATTTTGGGGAATAGGCCCTATTCTCAAAAATCAATCAGGATCAACGTAATTTGGCCATATCATGTTTGAAAATAGGGGTTGATGAATCTGGATGAAGAACTGTGTTGCCCTGCAAAAATTTTACACAGATCTAGACCACAGCTTTGGCAGAATCGGAGGATAAAATATCTTCTACCTCATAAAATATTCCCAAGTAAATCCCCTCTTAGTTGCAAATTAAAAAAAAATAATCGCAAACATACAAGATTTAGTAAAATTTCTTTTCCTTGACAAAAAGAAGTATCTTCCAGACCTCCTGATCGTACTAGGAAAATAACTCTTTTTTGTGTGTGTTTTTCTGAGTCAATATACAGTTTTTTATAATCTTATATCCCAGACACAAGCAGTAAATTTTTAATGCACATGGAAATTGTTAGGGACATTCACTTTTTTAAATTATAAATACTATAATACATTACTACTGATTTCTACTGATATCTGGTTCTTTATTTTTAATTTATTTAAATGTATAGTGAGCAATAAAACACTGAAAATAAAAATAAAAATAGGGGAAAAAACAAATTACAAAAAGCAAAAGCAAAAAAAAAAATACACCATTTGGAAGAATATAGAAAATGCATTGTCATCTGAGAGAAAAGGGGGGGGAGAGAGAAAGAACATTTTAAGCATCCCTATTATGTTCATAGTATGTTCATAGCTAACTGTAGTAGGATTATTTGTAGCAGGGTTAAACATTGGGACCAAAAGTGAATAAAACCATTTTGAGCATTATTGGAAATTACCTTATCTTCTTCCACAGAGGCTTCAGTGTCTCACAAACACTGTTACGAGAAGCTCAATACAGAAGGTACACAGAAAGGGAACTGTGGAAAAGACGGAGACAAATGGATTCCTTGCCACAAACAGTAAGTTTGAGAATGCTGGATTCAGTTGTTCTTAAACTGACTTGCTTGGCCTGAAAGATACAGGAGCAGAATTTCCCACTTTATTACAGACACCTTTGCTTCCCACAGAAGGTACTACTGAAGTCTTGGGACCCTCAAATAGCCTCGAAGATAACATGGGATACTGTATGATGGAAACTGAGGGAACAGAGAAGCATTTTTACACTCACTCAAGGCACTTTTTAAATTCACATCACCATTTTCAGCTCAATAAGAGCTTGAATGGTAAGCGGACTTCCGGTGGCAGGCGACCTCGTCGGACGCAGCTGACAGCTGCCTCCCGCCTGTTTTTGCGTAAAAGCCGTTTTGACAGAAAGCATCAGCTGTCAAACGGCTTGATACCTTTCCCCTGGGCATAAGGGGATCGGTGAGCTGCCCGGGGTAGGAGTTGAGTTCCTGAGTCGTCCTATGTGGACGATGTAGGTTAGAACTCCTCCGGAGCCCCGAGGATTCTCCGCGATCCAGGACGCCTTCGCTTCAGCGAAGCCAGAAGCCGCCGCCACCACTGCAACTTAAATTGAACTGTGAGTTATTATATGCAGACAAACCGACCCTGGAAGTTTGTTTCCTATTGTGGATTTTACTCTAACTTGGGATATTTTGATCTTCCCTATACTTGGGCTGGATTGAGTGAAAGTGAACTCAAAATGGCGATGAATGATACTTTTTAGCAAGAAAAAGTGAAAGTGATTTGGACTTCCGGT